TACACAAGTTACTTCCTCCACAGTTCTCTCTCTGCCACCATCCTAAACCTACAAGTCATGCCCATAGCATGAACATTTTCTAATCATCCACCTCCTCAAACCACCAAAAAACAGGCATTTCCAAATCACACTACATCAAACCAGGACTTCAACTGATCCCACTTTATGTATTGTCTAATACAACTTCCTCTTTTCTAAAGTCATGATCTTGCTCTCCAGACTACATGGGAATGCCACCTTTCTAGTCACTTAAACCACTATTTTTAAAGCTCCACAGTTGAGACCCTCATGACAGATCTAATAACTTAAGGATGCAAATCCTTGTTCCAGAACTATCCCTTTACCTTTACGACCCAGGTGCCAGTTACCCCTTAAACTCTTTGCATCATTTTGCAGCATCACATAGGTATGGGACATGACCCAAATGTCATGTAAATTGCCTTCCTTCAGAGACACCCTTAAAAGCTCGCCACTACCAATTTACCTACAGAAAGCTGTACACCAGCCAAAAGTAGTTATATAACAATCTAGAAATAAAGTGTTCCTTTCTATATTCTACCATTACCCCCAACCCAGGCTGGTGGAGGGAAGAGGACAAGGTGCAAGCTACATAATAGACAATGGCTCGTTTTAAAGTGCAAAAATATTTTTAAATCTGAGTTGATTATCTACCTTTTGTAGTACTCATGACTAGAGAGTCATGATGATTCTAGTATTGTGAGAATCAATAATGACTGGAAGACCACAGCTCACACTTGCAGAACAAAGAACACTACTTTAAGAGCATTTTTGGACAAATTGTTTCTTTACAACAGTACTGGTTACGTTTGTTTGAGCTATTATACCTACTTAAAAATGTGTAAATGCAAGAATACTTTGACCTCAGAAATGCATGTTAAAAGTTAACTTCATAAAATGACTTCAAGTAACCTATGGCCAGCAACTGCCATGAAATGGTTTTATGGCAGAAGTTAAAATTAGTTTCAGAGCAGGAACACAAGTCTAACAAGTGACAAAAATTAATCATATGAAAAGTTGTATCTATCAATTGAAATCTTTAATTCAAAAAGTGCTATGAAAAGCACAGTATAGTTCATGTATAAGTTATCGGGATAGATAATGGAGTAACAGTAATATTCTATGCTTAACATAGCGAGGTTAAGATCTGAAAGCAACATAAAGTCCTAACAGCTATGAGTCTTCCTAAGCTGATGCAATTTTCCAACTAGTGTCAGCACTAGAAGCTCTGCTTGTCAGAAAAATGAATAGCAGTGTATAAACAAGGAAGATATTTGGATGCTATCATTCAGATATTTGCAAGAACTCTCCCTACTTCATACATTGTAAAACTAGTTCTCAAAGAGTTAAGGAGATATGCAAATAATGAAAATGGAGACTCACTCAACAAATGTGGAAACAGCCAACTTTACATCCACCATTAATTGATATCTATAAAAAAATCAGAACAGAGAGACTAATCCTGTCTTTTTAACTGCAAAAGAAAACAACAAAAACATCCTTACTGAAAGTAAAATTAAGAGGCATCATTTTGAACACCACGCACTTTTTGTCCTCTCTAAATACACACGACAAACTGCAGGTTCTGATGTTTTACTAAACTGTATACAACCTCAGCTGGAACAACCAGTTAAAAAATTAGTTTCCAGACTAGTATGCATTTTGCCCTGCAACATGCTGAATATTTTCCAACCTCTAATGGAGAAAGAGATGTCTGACACCTGACAAACACAAACTTAAGTGAAGATTTTTAGAAAAATAATGTTAGCTCCAGTCAGTTAAGAGCACTGAACAATACCAACCCGGCCCTAATACTGAGAGGGCCTGTAGACACTGCAACAAAATAATTCTGCTCTGGATGTCCTGTTTGATACAGGAGAGCACTAGGCAAACATCTAAACAATCATCATGGACAGTGAATTGAATACACAATGCAATGCCTTCTCCTGACTCTCAGCTTACTGTCAGATTGCTGTGTTGGCACTGAAAAGCCTCCATGAACACCTTTGCTTACAGCTCCAGAAGAAAGCCAACGTGACTAGACAGACATTTTGCTAAATTAAAATTGTAATTTACATAGAGAAATTACATATTTTAGAAGTGTGTTGTTTGTCAACTATTTTGAAGCTACTTTTGCATTTTCTTCAATATGTTTTAGGAAAAACTCCTTTGTTAATAGATTTTTCCTTGTTTACTTAAAGAAGAATCATCTTTTGTGGCAGGCAATGCACATACTCAGACACTTTGTATGGAAACAGTAATGGAGTTAACCATTAGTTGTAACACTTAGCTGTTAGTCTTTCCAAAAATACAGTGACAGGTCTCAACCCGAGTCACCTTTTCTTGATTAAGTGGATTAAAGGGACACTCAGCTGGCCTGAATGCTAGGTTCTGATACATACAGCATACATTAAGTGCCTGTTACTTTTGGCTGACAGCACCGTATTCTGACTCTGTTACTATTGTATCAACACTACAAAAAACAGCTACTGGCACAAGCAACAAGTAGGCTTTGGCCCTTTATTTAATAAAACAGCAAGAATCACAGCACTGATGCTTCTGTCACTCTCCCATCTCAAATACACACAGTATAAGCTACTAAAATGACTATTAACCACTCCCCCTCCCCCTTTTAAGCAAACTGTACATCTCCACACATTACACAGTTTAACATAAGCATTTATGTTTATTACTAGATGTATTACACTTTGGAAATCGGCAACCAAGTGACAAATGCCACTGGTAGACTCTTCATGATCTGCTTCAAGGAACATGCCCTGTTCCCCAGCCAGGCTAGACCTATTCCATGCCCATACTGACCGTGGCTAACCCCCTCTCGAACACCACCACCACTTAGTATTTAGATCAATTCCTAACTCATTTCTAACCCCTGTACCTTCAAGATGCTTGGCTCACCCACAGGCCTCATCACACACAGTCCCTCCACCCCAGACCCCCAGGCAGGCTTTCTGGCTGTGCCTTGGCAGAGGCTGTCCTGCACACAGCTACCTACTCAGCATCACCAGAGTCCTCAGCATCCTCAGAGGCAGTTGGGAAGACTAAATCACAGATCCCCCTCCCTGAAACCCTGGATCCTCTCTGCCAGCCCAGAGACATTAAGCCTTTAGTTACGATTTTTCACCAATATTTTCTTGAGACATACCAGAGTGCAATAGATCTGTCCCACAGCCCAATATAGGAGCTTGCACAGCCTAACACTGAAGGCACGCACTGTGTGCAGGCCACTGGAGGTGTGCACTCTGTGCAGAAGCAGAAGGTACAACGTGAAGGAACTTTAGAGCACAAGACCTGCTTAGCACTGAAGGACCAGGCCAGCAAAGAAAGGGCACAGGACCACCTCGCTCTGCCTGGGTTGCACCTTGCTACGATCACTGCTTCCAGGCTAACTGTGGAAGCACTGCCAGGTTAAAGGACACCTGAGGAGAAAACTCACCATGGTGCAACTCAGAAGGGACTTCAGGAACAGCCTAAGCAACAGCGGGTGACTGGGAGCTGTTTCCTAGCAGGAAACAACATGATCCAAACCGATAGCATAAACACTAGCACTCCCTTCCTTCCAAAGTACATGTAAATGGTCACTGTAAAAAAATGTAATTGGAGGGAACATCTCGGAAGCATTTACTCTAAGATATATTTAATTTGATTAGCTAATATTAGAAGAACGGCAGATTTAAATCCTTTCCAAGCTGACAAAAGATTTCAAGCTCCTGCTAAGGAATATGCCTACTAAACCCATGAGAAAGCTCAAGTCTGGTACTTGTTCCAAAGCAAAGAAAAGCTACCAACTGCAAAATGGTTCAGAATTTCTATTCAAACATTTGAGAAGACTTTCTGATTGCACAGATAATATAACAATCCAGTGATTCAACAAAAAGTGAATCATGTGTACATGAGTACACTTCTCTTGGTTCCCACCAGCTTCAGCTAAAACAAGGGTAACCTTGATTTTTTTTTCCCCCCAAATGTTAGTTTTTATTTTATTATTAACCAGGCAGACTTTACTATTAACCAGGCAGAATTAAATACTGCAATATATTGAGATTCTTATCAATTTCTTCTACTAAAAATATTTTTACAATATAAGAAACTGGAAGAGTTACTGTTCGGAAAAAAAAAGTAAGGAAAACTACACCCTAGCACTCGCCCATAACATTGTGTGTCACTTTCAAAGTGAAAGGGAATGCAAACTATACTGCACTTGGTCCACATGGCCACATGGCCATATTACATCTATTTCAATTTAATAGCAATTTCAGCTAAAGGGAAGGTCCTGCTCCTTCCTTCAACTCTCATTTCTCTCCTGAGCTCTACTCCTTCTGCAGCCACAGGATGAGTTGTATCAGCCTCCTGGTTCAACACAAGCTCAACCACAGAATACCTTCCAGCAGATTACAGCACAGCTGCAACTTACCTCAACACTGTGTAACTGCTACCGCAGACCCAAAGGCAGGGGACAGGAACACATGGCAGGGGTAGAGGGATGGGTGAGGGAACAGGATTACCACTTTCCAAGGTAATTAGACACTTCACAGCTTACTAATCAAAGTGATGAGATACATTTAAATACACTGAGGTAAAAAGCAATAATCCAGACCATGGTTTTCTTTGCTTTGTCTTAACTCTATTATCAGAAAAAGAAATTTTATAGTTTTCTGATGCAACTGCAACTGTCAGCACTCCTTTGCCTTGTGTTCCTTTTATTATATAGCTTTGAAGATACTTTTTCTCCCAGATTTGGTCCATCTTCTGTCTGAAGAGCTACCCATTTCATGCCACCATCATACATCTTCCCACTTCTAGCCCTCCAGTACCTCTTCACCCTACACCCATTAGTAATGTTAATGCTCTATTATCTATCTTCAATTTCAAAACAATGTAGACAAACAGCTGCTCACCATGGAATGAGTCAGGGCTACAAAACAAACAAACAAAACATATCAACATCTCCTTACCTTCTGTGCTTTATCCTTCTGAAATACAAAGACAGGTGGAGCAATGGCAGGTTTTTCTGTAAAAAGAGAAATCATTGGTTTTTTCCCAACCACATTCATTATTGATTAATTGACAATGTTATGTTCTATGATGCTTTTACCGACAATGAATCCCTAAACCAGTTAAATATCAGTTACACAAATTGTTTCCACCAGTTCCTGCTAACATATAATTGTAAGGACTTGATCTTCAAAAGGAAAAAGGAGTGTTTTAAGAACAACAATACAACTGATATCTGAAAGCTATTTGTCTTTTCCCTCCAGATCTATTTCAAACCAGTACTTCTACCATACTTAGGTACATCAGGAAAAAAAGGCCCTTTGCTGCAGTAGTTTACTTTTTGAACACATGTAAGTTTTGCAGGCAAGGGCTTTTCCTTCCCTCTAGTAATGCATTAATGCAAAGGGAGTTTCTGTACCATCCACATACCTTTTTCTTAAAGGTACCTAACTCTCACACTTGATTATACTTGTATTTCATTACCATTGAAACCTTTAGAAAGATCCTAAATCTTCAACACTTGTAGGTCTACAATTTAAATCAAATATTCCATGCATAATATTACAGAGGGACCAGTCTTTTCTGCATAATTTAAGAGCACATCTGCTTTCTACTTGAAGTTCCTATTCAAATATTAGCAGGACACTATTTTCTAAATAAGCACATCAACATTTAGTCTTCAAGAACAGAATGAATTTCTAGAATGAGTGTCTGTTTTCCATTGCCTGTAATGACCTCAAAACTACCTCTATGTCCTCAATGACCAAAAAAATGGAGGGGGGGGATAAAGCAGAAATGAGCTTTCCTGAGAGTTAACAAACTGATACACCTTGTGCATGAGTTATATTTGAAGAGAAACTGCACATACACTACGCAGTCAGCAGCCTTCCTGTATGTTTGTAGGGCTAAAGATGAGTACAACATTTAAGTCTGTCTTCAGAGTGAGACTGCTGTGAAACAATGGGATTCAGGGAGAGCTGTATTTTGGCTAGTTTCTTTGCAAAAGTTCCACCTTTGCAATTATTCAATCTTAAAAACAAGACCAGTCATTTAAGAAAACTAAAATTTTTAAAACTTTTAGAACTTGAAAGGCTACCATAAAAAAGAAATATAAAGCCATCAAGAAGAATTACTTTGCGCCTAAAAAAAAAAAAGACAGTATCACAAAATCCTCCGTAAGTCAGTTGCATCATCAGTAAAGCACTAGGGTCAACAGAAAAGGGGATGAGATTGTCCATTTGGGAACTGCTAGCTATTAGATCAGTTTAGCTGAAAAAGTGAAACTTTACCTGACAAACACATAAAATTATGAAAATTACTCCAAGACCTCTGTGCATTTATTTGTGAGGATGGAAAAGCTTCTTTCCACTCTTCTGTGGGTCTAACTCACAGCGATAACCTAGCAAAAACACTGCAAGACTGATTTTTGCAAGACTGGCATAACTTATTAATACAAAAGGTAAAATTAATCCTGAAATATAGCTCCTTACTACAGCATTTTGCCTGCTCTTTTTTCCCTTTATTTTCTAAGTTCTTCTATCCATCAAATAGTGTCAAGTTCTTAAAAATGCTTATTAATGAGAGCAATGCAGACAATCTATTTCAAAAATGAAAAATAATCTACTAATGAAGGTCATCAACAAAGACTTAAGTGCTATACCTGTCCCAAAAAACAGATTTTGTTGAAACAAAGCAGGGACCCCTTTTGACTCCCTTGGCCTCATTATAACCTGCCTGTGGGAGGCTCCACTTATGTAAGGTCCAAGCTTTTAACTCTTTACTTCAAAGTGATGTTCATTTCTTTATACCATGTTTGGTATACTTCAGTATTCATTAATGCTATAATTACAGCAACAAGTAGCATGCATTCTACCAAAGTACTTTTACCCAAGACTGCCAAACCAGTCAATAAAATGCTGTATTAGTGTTCTTCCCTTTTGGAGATCTGCCCGAAAGCAGGACTTGTGTAATGCACAACATACAAGAGACTCCTGTACCAAATTCCACAGATACCAAAGAGGACCAAACAGAAAAGAACTACTTGTCTACTTAGTGCTTAATAAAGGATTGAAGTACTGAGAGAGAAGAAAGCAAACAATCAAAAAGGAGATCCAACAACAATGCGCAGTGCAGAGGAAACATGGGATGGCTGACAAAAGACTAGAATGGGGAGCCAAAGAAGCTGATGCAAAGGAACAGGACAAAATAGGAGATAGAGTCTAGTGATGGAAAACGGAGTACTCAAAAAAAGAACAGGGATGCCAGGAACAGCAGAAAGCTCACAGAAAAAAAATTATTGGATGCCAGAACCAAAGAAGAAAATGGAGAGAAAAAAATCAAATATTCGAGATTGTGTCCAGCTACGGCAAATGAGACTGGGGAAAAAAGCTAATAAGACAAACTATGACCAGTCCTGTTAGTCAAGGTGGAACATATCTTGTGGAACATACCAGTTTCTATCCACTGAAGGAACACAGTCCTCCAGTACTCAATATCTAGGAATCTCACTATTACCCTTGCTGGCTGTGAGACCAACTGACACAATGGCATCCGGCAAGAACGATGACAAGACAGCAGGCACTCGTGGCTACCAACTATACCAGTGCTTAGTCAGACATGTTCTTTACAGGGGAACACTTGTTCACCATGTCCTTTCTAAAGTCTGCAACAAGACCACAATGCTGGAAATGTTTCCCCAATTCTAGCCCAAGGAAAGAAGGGATCACTAGATTGCCTAATCCGACCACATTCATTAAACACTGCATATTTTTCTGAGCCTTATTGCTTTAGGGAAACATTTTCATGAAAGGCATCAGTTGCTGAAGACATTAAAAGCAAAGTATTATTGCCCTCGATCATCCATTACCTCACTTGGTAAAAAAACTCCAGTGCCAAATATCTGGCTTCAGCTTTCAGTTCTGATTCCTAGTTATGTTTTTTGAATGCCTTTATGTACTAGATAGAGAGCTCTCTAGCATTTAATGTTTTTCCTATTAAAGCACTTACACCAGTGTTTTCCTATCAACTGAAGAACCACCACAACAGGTTTTATTTTTGTAGAACAGAAATGCATATGTTAGGTAGTTGTTGGGGTTTTTTCCCACATGGTGAGCATGGCAGCTTATTAAATGCTACTCCAAAACGAGAATTATGCTGTCATTTGTACCAGCCAACATCAGAGGTCCCCGGTCATGTTCTCACTTAGCGAGCATGCTTCCATTCCACCAAGGTGTCTGAAGGATGACCTACAGTAAAATGGATCTGTTAGGTCCACAGAACTGTCATTAAGTTAAAGGGAAAATAAAGCAAGATAAAGGAAGGAAAAAGAAAACCCAGCCTTCAAACTTCAGATACAATACATGTAAAAGATCATGAGATCTTCTCCTTCACCTAAGAAATGAATAGACACAGCACATAGTTCTTAAAAACTGTGGAACAGACTTGGTTTTTCTCCAAACAAGCAGACAGAAACAAGGCAAAACAAAGGGCTGGAGATGCAGAAACAATGTCAATTTTCTAACTGAGTCAGTCTCAGTAAAGGTGTTCTGAGAAAGCCCAAGTGTGTAAAAAGGAAAGCAGACCTTCAGTAATTACTGTCATAGAGACAGTAAGTCCCCAATCTGAAGATCTGGAACTTGTACAAACCACTTAGTTTCTTCTGAATGGTGGTAGGCTGTCAAACCAGTCTGAAAAATGACTGAATCCACAGAACTCCTTCCTGCAGTTTATTTTTAAGTTTCAAACATTTCAATCTGCATGATTACAAAAACCTCCAGAGCTGGCTTTCACAGGCTAAATTCCTTCAACATATTTCACTGTCGAGTCACTAGCTATCAATATATGCTCTATGTGCTGTCAGAAAAATGTATGTACTATTAAATCTACTCAGCTTGCTTTGCAAGCCTTGGAAACCAAAACACAGAAACAGAAAATACTATCTCAATGGCTCAGGCAGAGGTATCGTCTTCAAGTCATATATACTATTTAATGTGAGATTTTTAACTCAGATACATGACCATTTGTAGCTGTACCAAACTCTGCGATGTCAACCATGTTTCCTGCAAGTAGACAAAACATGGCCTTGTTTTACCTCTCCACCGATTCAGCTGCTGGCATCTCTAGCAGCAATAGTTGTTTTTGCAATAAAAAGTTTTAAACCTTCACTGCAGCATGAAACGACCCATTACTGAAAAATCCAACAGGTATTTTGAGTGTATAGATGCAAAAAACATGTCCCTTTTGAATCCACATTTGAAGGCCACATAAGTGAAAAGAAAAGACAAGGTAAAACTGCACAAAATTTGGGGGGGGGGGGGGGGAGGGAGGAACCTCGTATACTGCAGAGGTGCATTTCTCTGTAGAGTTACCAGGCTCACAGAGTAAATCCCATGGCAAAGCAGTGACAAAGGCCAAGAAAGCATTCTTCTCCTTTGCCACCAAGACACCATTGTGTCTCTACCATAAAAGTACAGGATAATCCAGGTTGGAAGGGACCACAGGAGGTCTCTAGTCCAGCCTCCTGCTTCAAGTAAGGTCAGCTATGAAGTCAGACCAGGTTAATCAGGTTATCCAGTCTGGTCTTAACTTCCAAGGATGGAGGCTGAGCAGCCTCCCAGGGTAACCTCTTCTACTGCTTGACTGTCCTTATGGTGAAAAACAGAACAACCCACCACCTTTTCCCTATATCCAGTCTGAACATCTCGTTCCACCTCTCACCTTTTGTCCTTCCAACATACACCACTGTGATGAACCCGGCTCTGCCTTTTTAATAACCTCCTCGTAGACCCTGGAAAGCTCCAAATCTGCCTCTCTGAAGCCTTCTCTTCTCTAGGCTGAACAAGCCCAGTTCCTTCAGCCTCTCCTTACAGGTCATGCAACCCAGATCACCAACCATCTTGGTGACCCAAATTAATCTTCAGATTTTAGAAGGAACCCAGGCCCCATGTCATGAAAACAGCTCTCAAGTCCTCACCAGACGCACTGTAGCCAGGTTATTACAAGGTGAATTTATTTTTGAAGCTAAGAACTACACTGTTTCAAACATTTTCTTTTTAAATTT